GGAAGAGAACCGGCGTCAGAGGTGCCTGGATGCTGGGCCTGTGTTCACGAGCTTCCCTGGAGGCCTTGCCAGTCTTTTAGTCCTAGCATATCTGGGTGTAGGTGCAAGACAGAGTAGGGGACAGACTGGGGCATGGCAAGGGGTCAAGGGTCAGTGGCTTGGACCTGAAGCAGAAGTCAGTGGAATGAACCTGCTTTTTTTTTTTTTCAGACTTCCTCTAATCAGCAGGCATTGCCTTTCCGTCATGGAGGCAAAGGAATTTCGAAAAGGGATGATCATGCCGGGCTGTTATCCCTAGACCCTGGGCTCCCCTTCTACTCCCTGTGTGCAGCCTGGCCTTAGATGTTTGGGTCAGGCTTCAAGGGAAAGAGGGCAACGTGAAAGCAGAGCCGGGAGGGACTGCTTGACTCCTTTCTTCAGCTTCTTAGGTGTGATGCAGTCTAGGGGTCTCGATCCAGTTCATTTCCGGGTGACCCTTGGATTGTGAGGTTGAGAATCGGGGTTCCTCAGCCTCCGAAGAGGGCACTGTAAGTGTAGCGATTTCCATCTGAGGTAGAGGATGAGATTTGGAGTGCTCCTGTGTTGGGAATGGGAAACCCCAGAACCTTGTTCTGTGAGTTTGAGCCCTCCTTCCTGATGATGTCCTGTAGAAGAGTTCAAACAGTGCCCCCCTCCCCCGTGACCTCTGGATTGTCTGTGAAGAAGCCAGGAGGCCTGTGTCTCCGCTCTCTCCAGCTGGACCTGCCACTGCGGAGCCTCGCAGGGCAAAACCTGACCGCAGGACGTACGTGCTCAGAGATGCCTGGGTTGGGTATGGACACCCGACCTCTGGGACTAAGCAGGGTCCTGCGTTCCTGGAACCCTTCCCCAGCAACCCCTTTCCCTGCCCCCACCTCAGCCCTGGATACCCAGAGTCTCCGCCTAAGCTCTGCAGTGTCCAGTCTCTGTTGCCCACATCCCAAGAGAAGCCCGTGTGGGCCACAAGTCCGCCTTTGTCAACTCAAGCCTCGCATGGAGCTGTGCCAGGAGGGGCTGGTGGGTGTTTTGCCTGCAGCTGGAGCAATTCTCGGCCCCTCAAAGCCCCTCAGACACAGGGCTGGCATGTCCACAGCAGCCTGTACTGTGGTGAAGGCAGTTCCTCTGAGAGACAGCTGTTCGGAGGACAGTCATTCGCCATTCGCTCACTTCTTCAATAGACACCCGTGTCAGGCCTGGGGCCAGGGACTTGTGCTGTGAGACGAGACTCTTGTTTTCTGTGGGGAGGGAAAGCCCTTGCCTCAGAATCGTTCCAGGAACCCACCCCTTACGTTTCTGACTCAGTAGCTATGGATGGGAATATGGGGTTTTGTATCAGGTACCCCCCTTTTCAGGGAGCAGATCCACATCCCTGAGCATGTTAGGCAAACTCTACCAGTGAGCCATCCCACCATCCCTGGGGTCACTGTAATTCAGTACCAGGTCGAGCAATTATGACTGCTGTTTCCTGTATTTTTCAAAGATTTCTGTTTGACCGTATGCGACTTTCACAAAAGTCAGTTAGTTACTAGATCAGTTAGTTACTAGAAAGCTAAGTGTGGAAGGGTGTCACCTACTGTGGGCTCAGCGTCACACATCTGTCTGTTAATGTGTTCCCGCAGCATGACTTTGAGCACGCCCCTGTGTCATCCCGTGACTCCGTCGGACCTAGAGAGTCACTCAGACCTCCACATCCTCCCAGTCACCATGTTCTGTCAGAACAGCAAGGGGAATATGTGAGCTGCTCACGGATGGCAAGGCTGAGCTTGAACACGGGCCCCTGCAGCCTGAGCTATAGGGATGTACTATCTGCCTGCATCTCCTGCCTCTTACTTCCTGCAGCTTTCTCTGCCAGCCCAGTGCCTCACTGCCTCCCTTCCACTTCCAGTCTGCCCTTTTGGTGTGGTGTGGGGTGGTGACTTTGTACTTTGGGGTGGGGTGTCCACTGCGGCCAAAGGCAGGCTCACCCACTTTGGAGTGCTGATGAACACACCCCTAGGACAGACACTATTGGCGTGGCAGGTAGTGATTCATGGATTAGCTGTTAGTGGAGGGAGACGGCATGTGGGGGCTGGAGCCACCAGTTTGTCACTTCTGTTTCTCTTTCCCGGGTTCTGAGAAATGGTTCCAGAAGCCTGGGGTATAGTGTGGCCTGGATAACGTGGCTTCTTACCTGGGGTATGGTGTGGCCTGGATAACGTGGCTTCTTACCTGTCATCTATTTAGCAGGCCACACCCCCTTTCCCACGGCAGCCAGGCCTCAGTCTGGACCCATTGCAGTCCAACCCACGGCCGTGCTTGTCCCGCTGGCAGGCAGGTGTGAGGAGAGGCCCCGATGATTCCTTTTCCAAAACTATGGAGACCCTTGGGGTGAGCAAAGGGTGTGGGGAGGGGACTCCCCTTTATTCCCATCTTCTTTAGGGACGATCTAGTCCCCTCTCCAGAGTGGCCTTTCTGTTCCTGGTTCCTTCCCTGCTTCCTTCCCTGCTTCCATCAGTACCCACCAGGAGTGCTTACCCTGGGTAGTGCCTTTGTCAAGGACACATTCCTGATGACTCAGTTTCCCTTATCTGTGTGCAATCTTATTTAACAGATACTTTTCGTGTTTGTGACTCAATTTCTACATTCGTTATGAGGCATAATTATGTGTTTCTTCTGGGAGGTGTCTGCTTGCTCCTCTACGTAGTGTCTGGTGGTCACTTGCTGTCTTTCATAACAGGAAGTCCCTCCCTCCTTTTCTTTCTTCATTAGCTAGGCATGCTTTTGTTCATTCAGTTAATACTGTTGAAAGTCTGCAGGCGGCCAAGCTGATGCGGGATGTGAGGGCCAGACAGGTGGGGTGACCGTGGTCACTGGAAGACCAAAGTCAGTCACACAGAATTTTGGATGAGCTGAGGGAAGTGCTGATGGGAACTGGTGACGGAGGGACAGTAGCTGGCCTTCCTGAGTGAGGTCGCCTGTAGTACCTTCCACTGAAAGCTCAAGCCAGGCCCTGTGTGGCTGACCCCTCTTTTCCCCCAGCTTTTAAAATAAAAGTAAACAACTTTTTTTTTTTCTACAGAGTCTCACTGTGTAGCCTTGGCTGGCCTGCAACCTCCTATATAGACCAGGCTGGCCTAGAACTTTGTATATATGTGTGCCACAGAACACATGAGGAGGTCAAAGGACAGCTTATAGGGGTTGGTTCTCTTCTCTCCTTTACATTATGGGTCCCAGAGACCAAACTAAGGCCACTAGGCTTGTTGGCCAGCATCTTTACTCAATTTTCCAGTCCCTTGATGTATTTTTTTCTTTTTTGTTCTGAGATGGGGCCTCACTGTGTAGCCATAGCTATCCTGGAACTCACTATGTCGACCAGGCTGGCCCCAAATTCACAGAGCTCCGCCTGCCTCTGCCTCTCAAGTGCTGGGATAAAAAGTGTGCGCCATTGTAGCATGAGGGCCGGCTTATTGGGGTTTCTGTCCTGCCCGGTACCCCACAGCCGGCAAGTCCCAGAGAAAATCAATCACACAGAGATCTCTATAAGTTATAAAGCTGATTGGCCCATTAGGTCAGGCTACTTATTAGCTCTTATAACTTATGTTACCCCATTATCCTTATCTACGTTAGCACATGGCTCAGTACCTTTTGCAGCGGGGCAGCTTACATCTTTCATCTCTGGTGGTCTGGTCAGAACTGGAGAGGGAGCTTCCTGCTTGCTAGAATACTCCCAGTCTCTTTGCTCCACCCTTACTTCCTGTCTGGCTTTCCCGCCTATACTGCCTGCCTGGCCAATCAGCGTTTTATTAAAATATGATTGACAGAATACAGACAATTCTCCCACACCACGCCATGACTCTCAGCTTGTTGGTGTTGCCTGATGCATTGAGTTCTTCCCTACCTCTGAGCCTTTGCACACACTGCTACCTCTTCCTGGAACTCTTATGGACATTGCTTCTTGCGTTGGCTTAAATGACCCTTCTTTAGAGATGGCCTCCTTGACCACCGTGCCCCCCCATCATATTTCTCAAATAGCCGTACGGTTATTTTGTTCTTTTTGCCTCCATGACTTAATCATATCTGAATTTGCTTTTGTTTACTGTGTTTTCTGAACAAGGCTTGGGGAGGAAGATGGAGATCATGCTGCTCACTAACATGCTCCCCTGGTTTTGTGTGCAGCCGTCTCAGTTATGCAGCCAGCACTCATGGATGTCGCGTGCATCCTGGTGTGCGTTTATTCTCATTTCTGTCACAAGTCACCACTGTTGCTTTTCTTCACCGTGACAAAGTATCTGAGGTGACCAGCTTGGAGGATTGTTGCATTTTGTATTTTGCCTCATCCTTTGGGGGCTTCAGTTCATTCTGTGCTTGCTGTGACATAGAGCATCATGGCAGGGAGACTGTGGCACAGGAAGCAAGGAGGGAGGGGATAGGGTGCTAAGATCCCCTTTGAAGGCACCTTCCAGTGACCTGGCGCCCTCGCCTCCTAAAAAGGTCACACCACTTCCCAATAGAGCCACAAGGAAGACAGCCTATAGCAGGTGACTTTGTGGACACGGTTAAGATCCAAATCTTAAGAGCATAGCTGGAGATTATCTTCCAGGTCTGAAACTCAAGTCCCGGCAGGGCTTCATGTCTGCCGAGTGCTGTAGGGCAAAACCCCCTCATTTCATCCTTGTGGAGGCTGCCTGCATATCTTGGCTGGTGGCCCTTCCTCCACCTGCAGAGTCTGTCTGCCTTCCCCCTACTTCCTCCTCACATTCCCACCAGCCTCTCTCTCAGAGGCCCACCCAGAGAGTCCAGGATAATGCTTCTGTCTGGAGACCCTTCTCTTAGGCACATCTGCAGCGCCCCTTTTGCCACAAGAAGGCATATATTTCCAATCCTGGGAGCTCAGCTGTGGCTATCACACGAGGCCACCAAGTCTGCTTGCCAGGTATAGCCAGCGTTCAGGCACCTTGGCCACTGCCATGGCATCTGGGGATCTGACCATTCCTTCATCCCTGCAGGATGAGATCGAAGAGCTGCGGGCTGAGATGCTGGAAATGCGGGATGTCTACATGGAGGAAGACGTGTACCAGCTACAGGAGCTGCGGCAGCAGCTGGACCAAGCCAGCAAGACCTGTCGCATCCTGCAGTACCGACTGCGGAAAGCTGAGCGCCGCAGCCTCCGTGCTGCCCAGACAGGCCAGGTGGATGGTGAGCTCATCCGTGGTCTGGAGCAGGACGTCAAGGTCAGTCTGGGGGTCTCCACCAACCTTTAGAGGTGCTCAGGTTGGGTGGTTGAGTCATAGGCCCCACTGGGAATCCAGGTTAGCCCTGTGGCTTACTACTTGCCTTGGGCAAGTTATCCTGCCTCTCTGCTCTCAGTTTCCCCTTCTGCAAAGTTGGGACCCTGGTGGATCAACAAACAGGTCCTCCAAATTGGGATGTCCCACAACAGGTCCTCCATATGGGATGTCCCAAGATGATATGATCAAAACTCCCCCCCTGCCCCCAGCCCCCCAGCCCTCTGCCCCCACCCCCCCACCCCCCAGCAGGAAGTACCTGACTTTGGCCTCTGAGTGGCTCCTACACAGTCCCTGCTGGCTTCCACAGGCTCCCTAGGCTACTGAGAGAGGGATCAAAGGACTGCAGCTGGATGGTGTTGGATCAGAGCTGAACTCCAGTATGCCTGGGTTTTGTGATTTTGAACAAGTCATGTTTCAGTTTCCTTATCTGCAAAATGGATGTAAGAACATTGAACCTAGGATATTGAAACTGTGGTTAGGACACCAGAGAGACCGACAGTGGTCAGTCAGTGTTGTTGCATCCGATTTCTGGGTGAGGGTTCTGGGGCTCAGAGGGGGAATGTACCTATCTAGGGTCAGGGGCTCTCCTGTGTGGATGGCAGAAGTCAGGCTCAGCTGACCTCCCAGACCTCACTGCTGAACCCTGCTGCCCCTCTGCCTCAGGAGGAAGCAGGGATCGCCACACTCAGACAGGTGGGGGCTCCAGGAGAGAAGTCTCCGCCTGAGTCAGCCTCTGCTCTTCGAACTCAGCTCAGTGTGAGTAGAGGACCACTGGAGCTGGGACTGGTACAGAACAGGGAGGAGCCCAGGAGTCCTGTGGGTGACTTCTGCACTGAGTCCCAAGGGAGGAGAGGGCCTGGGACGTTCTAGGGAAGACTCCCAAGGGCCCCGAGCTCAGACAGGTGTGGAGCCATTCACAGAGGCCTGCTGCTGGAAGGCACTGAGAATCCAGCCCTGCAAGTCACTGCAAGATTACTATTCTTTCCAGAACCAGGAAGGCTGTGGCTCCCTGCAAGCCTGTGTACCTGCGTGGAGCCTGTTTTCTTGACTGCATAGCCAGATTCTGTTTGTTTGTTTTTAAACAAAACAAATACACCGCCCATTTCCCTCATTGGTGGGAGACAGAGTAGGGAGGGAAGGAGAGTGGAGAAGTTCGTAAAAATCTGCCTTTGGGCTAACTGGTCCGTGAGGATTTCTGGGAGAACCCTCGACAAGCCTACTTGGAGATGAGGGAGTGTGTGTGTGTGGGGGGGGAAATACAGGCTTGTGGGCGGGGCCAGAGCAGCTGGGGTGGGGGTGGGGCTCAGCCCTCCGGGAGGAGGAGAAGGGCCCCTTCTGTTGGGATTTGAATCAGCCAATCAGCATCTCCGTGCCTCCCCTGTAACCCCCCCCCTCTCCTCTCCCCTCGCAGCTGCAGCGCTGAGCTCACGCTCTGGCTCTGCCTGAGCTGGCCACAGCCTTGCCGCCACCCTTCGCCCCAGCGTGCTAGGAATGTTAGAGGCAATTACGGAGGTCCTGAGAATGCTGACTTCCCCTAGGCAAGCTAAGGGAACCAGGTGGAGAGGGGTTAGAAGGGGTGTACGCCTAGGGATTCCTCCTTTGCTCAGCAGGCTTCTTGGCCCTGTGCCCTGCAGGTCTTTTGAGCACCAGTGGTTTTATTGGGCACATGTGTTATTAGGAAGATCTCCCATGGCCACTCCATAGCAACCCTCCAGGCTCTTCCACTTTTTGCTGGTCCACACAGTTAAGATCTCCTCCTACCTCAGCAGGATGGGAGAGGACAGGAGGGCCAATGGATAGAACCCCGAGCTGCCACTTTGTGTCTGTGTGACCTTGGGTAAGCTGCTTCACATCTCTGGTCCTGTTTCCCCTGTGGAATGTGGAGATAAGTTTAGTTCGCAATAGAGATTTTTATGAATATAAAATGAAATTACTAAAGAGAGAACTGTGTGATGGGTGTGGTCCCAGACCATTGAGCTTGGGGGATGCTAGGATCCCACTGCTTTTCTTGTAGAAGGTCCCAGAACACATCGGTAACAGATATGCAGCCCATCCTTAGGTAAGGATGCTTTGGCCCTGGCTCTGTGTCCTGGGTGACCTGCATTATTTTCTCCTTGGAGCCTTAGTCTCCCACTGTGTAAAAGGGGTGACATTCCCATCATGCGATTATTGAGGGAATTTGCTGCCCGGCCTGGGCTGCTGCTTACAGTTTCCATGTAAGATTACTGCAATCCAAGGTTCAGAGCCCAGAGCTGATGTGCCCAGGAGCTGGGAGCCTTCCACTGCTGATGGCCTTTGGTAGGGACCAAGGCCAGCACTGTAAACAGTGACCTCATGGCTGAGCACATTTGTTTGTGCTTTAGGCATTTGCCCTGTGTCCGGATGCTGCAGCTGCCTTTCCTCTCTTGGTCTCTCGGCCCCCTCCTTTGGGTGTAATTGTGGGGCTCAGTGAGACAGGCCCATGGGGCTCCTTAGGCGCTTCTGACGTAGTAAGCCGTGTTGAAACTTGTTCTTGTTCGTAGTTGTGTGCCTTCAAGCTTACCCCCACAACATCAGCTTTAGAGCTGACTCTCCTTGGTACCTTCTCTGTCATGTGACCTTGGGCAACTGACCTTTCCTTTCTGAACCTCAAAGTGGGACTAGAATGTGCCCTGAGGGTGAGAAAAGCTTATGGTAAAAGCCTGAGGAGGAGCTAATTGCTTCTATAAATGACTTGTGAGAGCCCAGGGCCCTGGGAGGCTGGAAATCTGGGAGGTGAAGGCAGGACCAGGCCCCAGTTCCTACTGCCCAGTCTGGTGGCTGTGGTACCCGGAGGCTGCAAGGCACTGCAGGGATCTGAGCTTGTGGGCTTTTCTGTCTAGAATTCTGCAGCTTCGTGTGTGTGTGTGTGTGTGTGTGTGTGTGTGTGTCTGTGTCTGTGTGTGTGTCTGTGTGTGTGTCTGTGTGTATGTCTGTGTGTCTCTGTGTGTGCGTGCTTGTGCTTTCTTAATATGTGGCCCTGGGGTGGGGAGAACATGGGGACAGGGAATCCATGGAGAAGGAAGAGGACCCAGGAACTCTGGTGGGCTTCTCAGGTAGACACCTTCTACCCCTGATGGAAGCATGTTTGGGAGAGAACCCTTGGCCCTAGTAGCACTCTTTGGACAGCGGGGCAGGGGCAGGGGCAGGGGCAGGGGCAGCTCCCCACGTATAGTCAGCCAGCCACTCCTTCATCATGTGCTGGACCCTGATTTGTTTGTCCACCCAACAAGCATTTATCAGGCATTTACTGAATGCTGGGCTCTGAGCCGTTACTGGGACACAGGTGAATGAATCCAGATAGGCATGGCCTTGGTCTCTGTGGTCCACCACTTCCACCTCAGTGCCAAGGCAAGTTGGATGGATGGATGGAATGTTGGTGAGGAGAGGACTTCCTGAGTGACCTAATAGTCCCACATTGGGGACTATAGCTGTAAGCCTGGGCCAGGGTGCAAAGAGGCAAAGCAGTAATCAGTAAAACATTAAAAATGCTTTTGTGACTGGGCTGGAGGTGTAACTAGGCAGACAGAGGGCTTGCCTGGCCCGCACGAAGCCCTGGCTGGCATTGGCCTTCAGCATTGCATAGACTTAGCAAGGTGGACGATTCCTCTTAGCCCAGTACTTGGGAGGCAGAGGTTGGAAGATCAGAAGTTCAAGGCCGTCCCTGGCTAGTAGCAAGCTCAAGGCTAGACTGGGAAGAAAAACTTAACTTCTCTAGCTGGAGATGTAGCTGAGTGGGAAAATGCTCGCCTAGTGTGCACAGAAGCCGAAAGTTCATTCCCAGCACAGCCGAAAATGAAAATCCTTGTGTAGATGGTTCCTTGAACTTGTGGCCATTGAGCAGCTCTGGTGGTTAAGTATTTTCCACAATCAAAAATAGGTCATGAAATTATGAAATAAATGCAACTTTGTAATACATTAAATAGAATGAATTATTTAAAAATAATAGTAAATAAGAAGCCTTGTATTTTTTTTTTTATCACCTTCTGGATTCCAGCCACCACCCAAGCACCCCCAGTGCCATTCACCCGCCCCAGCAGCCCTCATGAACAGTGTGTCCACCCATTTACTGCCGACCACATGGCCATGAATGCTGGCACTGGGCTTCAATCTAGTTTTCTTCTCTGCAAAATCTTTTTCTGATATTAAAGAATTGCCTATCCTGCGTTATGGGTGAGGAAAGCTTTGTGGCCCGGAGTGGCTACAGGGGAGGCTTGTGTGCCTCCGTCTGGCGTCCTCAGAGATCTTCAGGCTCGAGGGGGCAGTGGGCAGAGGAGGGAGGAGAACCATTCCCCGTTTCCTCTCACTGTTGTTTTTCCTGGCTTTCCCTGCACACGGGGTTTGTGCTGAGTTGAGCTTGAGCCCAGGCAGTGGGCAGAGCCAGGGAGGGCCTCTTCTCTTCCAGAGGGAGGAGGCTCATGGTCATTTCCGACATTGGCAGGCCTGGGTGCCCGGCTGTCTATGTTGCACAGGGTTTGCTGGCAAAGCCTTCAGACTCCCGGGGGACCCTGGTTATGCTGGCCCCTCCAAACCACAGGGAATACCAATCCAGCCCAGCCGTGCTCGCTATGCGTGACCCTGAGGGCAGGACTAGTATCTAGGTGTCAGCAGGGCCCAGCCTACCTGGGGATAGCATCTATTTGTATTTTACCTGCTCAGGAGGGTTCACACCACCTCAGCCCTCCTACTCTACCACACCATACCCAGCAGCAGGGACCAAGGGGATCCTCCAGAGTCAGGGGTGCTTTTCCTGTTGGGCCTGGGCCCGGGATTAGAGACTGCCACTCTGCTAGCTGCATCCAACGGATGACTTGGACACTTGCCCAGCCTTTGTCATTCTAGCATGTTCTATATCCCAGAACAGGCCCCAGGGTCACTGTGACCTCCAGCAAGTCATGTCTGTCTCTGGACATCAGTTCCTGGGAGCAGCAGCCACAGGTCAGCAGACACTCACTGTGGCAGGCGCTGGGCGAAGGCTTTGTGAGCAGTAGCTGATGTGATCCTCATGTCGGCCCTGAGACTGTCCCGTTACTGCTGTACCCATTTTATACACCCTGAGAACGCCGAGGCACGAGGCCAGGAATTGACTTGCTGAGGATTACTTGCCGCTCATTTTGTGCTGGACTTCCAAAGCAACTCTCTTCCCTTACAGGCTCCCCCGGTTGAATATAAAGACATCTGTAAGAACAGAACAAGATCATCCCAGCTTTTGGGGGCAACGTTGTGAGCTGGGGTGCTTGGTTTGGGTTTGGGATCTGTTAATCTCTGTATTCATGGCTCTTGGCCTCGGTTTCCATCTCTGCTGAGTGAGGGTGATGTGACTGACGTGAGATGGTCTCTGGGACTCGGTGTGTCCTCCCCCAGCCTGAACATGGCCCTTTCTCTCCCACCCTGGCTCAGGTCTCTAAGGACATCTCCATGCGGCTCCATAAGGAGCTGGAGGTGGTGGAGAAGAAGCGGATGAGGCTGGAGGAGGAGAACGAGGGGCTTCGGCAGAGGCTCATCGAGACGGAGTTGGCCAAGCAGGTGCTGCAGACGGAGCTGGATCGTCCCAGAGAGGTGAGGATTGCGGCCCAGCTGGCCCAGGTGGGCTGAGCATCCCCTCCTGGTAGCCGGTGGACTGAGATGCATCCCCTGGACCTCCCTGGCAGTGTTGGCTATCCGGTCATCCTTCTAGAGCACCTCATCTATATTCTACACTGGATTTCAGAATAAAGTGGTGAAGGAGATACACTTACTGAGATTAATTACTCTTTCTGGGATTAATTGAGGGTGTACTCATCAGTGCCCAGCATGGGTCTGGCCTTCTTTGCCTCAGTTTCCTCATCTACAAGGTTGGGCAATTGTCCCCTGGTCACTGACTAGCTTGTATGGACATGCTTTAGGGCCTAGTGTGCTGTTGCCACTTAGTTCGAGAAGGATACTTAGCCTGGGTCTCCCACTTGTCTCGAATGTGACTTCCAGACCCCGTGTCCCCCACCCTGGTTGACGTCAGCCTTTCCTTCTGCTGTACCCTCCTCCAGCTGTGAGTTAGGCTCACACGAGGACAGTTTATCTAGGAAATCTTTGCAAAGGCCCAGCAGGCCGTGGTGCATTTCACGGCTGAGCAAACAGCTTCCTTCTGGGAGAGGGGGGTGGGTTCTCAAGGTCATGCAGGCTGCTGGGGGCTTTGCAGAATGTCAGTGGAAAACCGTCCACCCAGGTGGTGTTTTAGCCTAGATACCTCCTGATTCTGGCGGTGGGGTGGGGAAGGAGTTCTGTGGTCCAAACACTAGGAGGCCTCTGGCCTCAGAGGCACAGCTGGCCCTCAGCTGGTTGGCTGCTCATTAGGCATCCCAGGCTGTACATTTCCAGGGCACCCACCTGCTTTCTAAGAGGGCCAGTATGCCAGTAGTCCAGAGCCGAGATATCACAGTCCCAAGGGCAGAGTAGTCCTTTGGCCGTCCTTCACAGTGGGTAAGTTGGTGCCATGTGCCCGTGCCCCACAGGTGGAGAGGGAAGGACCTGCCCTAAGGGCTGCTGTGGCATGCCGCGTGCTGCGGGGTTGGGTGGGAGGTTTCCTCCCTTCGTGTAGTTGACTGCCCACTGTGGGCTGTCTCCAGCACCGGGTGCCTTCTGCACACTATCTTGTTGCTCCCTTCTCAGCCTATTCCTCCTGCACAGATAGGGAAACTGAGCCCCTCTGCTGCAGCTTGTTTAGATTGCCCCAGACTTCCCTCAGCAGAGATGCTACTGAAGGCACTTCCCCTCTCCAAGTCTCAGCTTCTTCCTCTGTGCCGGTGCTTCTCAGCCTTCCCCATGCTGCGACCCTTTAATACAGTTCCTCGTGTAGTGACCCCAACCATAAATTACTTTCATTGCTACTTCATAACTGCAATGCTACTGTTATGAGTCGTAATGTAAATATCTGTGTTTTCTGAAGGTCTTTGGTGACCCCTGTGAAAGGGTCATTCAAACCCAAAGGGGATTGTGACCCACAGGTTGAGAAACGCCGCTCTATGATGTCAAAATGCAAATAGTACCAGTTTACAAGGCTGTCTGGGATCACTAAGACGTCTGTGTAGCCAGAAGAGTCAGGAATGCAGCCCAGTGGTAGAGTAGGTGCCTGGCACACGGAGACACTGGGACCAATCCCTAGAACCGAAAAGAAGAGGAAACAAACAGACACCTTTTGAGTGACCGTAGAATACTATGAAGATGTTGGAAAGATTAAGATCATGTAAACATTCCGCAGAACCTTAAGGACAGAGTTACTGCATCGCCCAGCAGCTCCAGTTCTCAGGGTATCTAGAGAGCAGGGGCAGAGGTGTTCGTCCCTCCATGTTCATAGCGGCACTGTTCACAGTAGCCCAGAGACAGAAGCAGCCCGAGTGTTGAGCGATGGGTCGATGGATGTACATGCAGAAAGGGACGGTTGTTTACCCTGGAGGACTGAAGTGCTGACACCCACACTCCAGCATGCTTGGGCCCTGAAAACATCTTACTATGAGAAAGAAGCCAGATATGTAAGGTAAATGTTATAAAGCTTCATTTATCTGAGAATCAGATTTTTAGACAGGGAGTAGAGGTGCTGGGCAGGAGAGGAGGGAGTCGGGCTCACTGTTTAGTGGGGGCAGAGGTTCAGTTTGGAGCCGTGGAAGGGTTTGGAGACAGAATGTGCTGTGGTCATACACAGTATGTAGATTCACTCAGGATGTGGTGTCCCCACCTGCTGTCCCAGCACCTGGGAGGCAAAAGCAGGACAATCACGAGTTCAGGTCGTTTTCAGCTCCACAGTGAGTGTGAGCCACCCTGGGCTACAGGAGACCCTGTCTCAAAAAGAGTGCCTGGGTTCAAACTCTGGCACCAGAAAAACAAAAATAAAAGACTAAAAGCCAAAATGGTAACTTTTTGTTAAATATATTTTACCATAATAAAAAAAGAATGTTTAAGATGATAAATTTATATGATATAACCTTTACCACATGTTTCAAAAAAAGTAGAAAAGTATGTATTTATATGAGAAAGTCCCCACGGTATGTTGTAAACTAGAAAAGGAAATTAGGAAGCTAGGCCTGGAGTCCAGACCCGTTATCCTAGCTATGTGGCAAGTTGAGGCGGAGAGTGGCATGTTCTAGGCCTGCCTCCCCTGCAGGGTAAGTTTAAGGCCAGCCTAGGTGCTTTAGTGAGACCTTGTCTTGAAATAAAAAGCCAATAGCTGGGAACGTTGCCCCGTAGTAGAACACTTGCCGAATATGCACGAAACCCAGGATTTGAGACCCACTGCAACCAAAAAAAGAAAGTTACAGAACCGCATATATTGAAAAATTCCACAAGCTATTTTGAGATCTTGTACATACCAGGATAGGGTGGACTCTTGAGCTGTGTGTCTGTGTGTGTGTGTGTGTGTCTGTGTGTGTGTGTGTGTAAGCCTGCTTGCACACCATATGTGTCCAGGTACCTTCAGAGGCCAAAAGATGGCATTGGAATCCCTGGAACTAGGCGGTTGTGTGCTGCTCAGTGTGGGAGCTGGGAATTGAGCTAGTCTTCTGCAAGAGTATCAAGTGTTCATAACTGCTGAGCCATCTCTTCAGGCCCTGAATAATCAGATGTATAGTCCCAGTAGTTGGGAGGCAGAGCTAAGAGAGTTAATGTGAATTTGAGGCCAGCCTGGGCTACGATGTAAGACTGTCTCACAAACAAAAGAATAAGATAAAAAAATGGACTGGGAATGTAGCTCAGTTGGTAAAGTGCTCTCCTAGGGTAAATGCGATCCTGGATTCAGTGTACAGTTCCAAATAAAATGAGCGTGGTCACACACATCTGTAACTCCAGCACTCAGGGGATGGAGATAGGATTAGAAGCTCAGGGTCATCCTTGGCTATATAGTGATGGGATACATGAGACAGTGCCTCATGCTTAAGCTAGACATGATGGGCACTTCTATAGCCCTATTCCAGGGATGCCTGAGGGGGCGATGGCTTAAGTCTAGGAGTCTAAGGCTAGCCTGGATAACATAGGAAGACTCTGTCTTTAAGAACAAATCAAAATATACTTAGGTATTACTTGTGAGATTATTTTTTTTTTACTACATTTCAAAACTTTATTTCAGCTGAACAGTGATGGTACACGCCTTTAATCCCAGCACTCGGGGCAGAGGCAAGCTGGTCTGTGAGTTCGAGGTCAGCATGGTCCACAGAGAGAGTTCCAGGACAGCCAGGGCTACACAGAGAAACCCTGTCTCAAAAACAAAACCAAAAAAAAAAAAAAAAGAAAAGAAAAAAAAAACCCCACAAACAAACAAAAAAGAAACCTCATAACTTTATTGTGCGCGCGCACGCGCGCGCGCGTGTGTGTGTGTGTGTGTGTGTGTGTGTGTTCCTGTGTATCTGTGTCTATGCTCCACAGCAGGCTTGTGGGGGACACGTTGGTTCTTTTCTTTACCCCATGAATCCCAGGACATGGGATTCTCAGAACAATCTCAGGACAAACTCAGGGCATCAAGGCTGCATCAGGTGCCCCACAACCGTACTTTGTGGAATTTTAAATGTAAAATTTAGGTTTTTAATGTAAAGAGCCCAGGATTGACCCTGACACAGAGCAGGCGCTGAAGAAACCGGTTCTCTTTCCTGAGAAACGGATAGATGCCTGACACCTGGTCTCTCCTCCTGATGTGTGGTATGGGCTCCAGATCCTGTTTATTTGCTGTTTGCCCTCTCCTCCTCCCTCTACTTCCTGACACGGTTACTATGGAGACGAGGGTCCCTCAGCAATTCTTCTGCCAGAGCTACAGTCCCATCCTCAGGACCTGCCTCTGCCATCCTGACAGGTTGCTGAGGCGATGTTGTCACCCGACTGGGAATGGGAGCCCCTGCCCTGAGCTGCTGCTGTTGCTATGGAGACAGCTCTTGGCGAGACAGAAGGGAGGTGGCATGCCCCGCGATTGGATCGATCTGCAGTGCCACCGTGGCTCAGCTGGGCTGCTGCTTGAGAATGTAACAGCAGCTGCCCCTTTCTCCACTATCTCCCCCTTGTATTCCGGCAGAAAGCCAGTGTGAGTGTGATCTGTCCTAACATAGCTGCTATGTCTGAGTGCTTCCCCTGTGCCAGGCACAGCTCCCAGCCTTGTCCATGCGTCTTCCTGCGGTTTAGCCCTCCCCTGACCCTGCTTTGTAGGTACTCCTCCTCCTTGGACATTTTTAAATTACAGTTTAACTCAGTGGTCACAGAATACACCATTTTGCAGTTTAGTTTCGTGGATTGACATTGTACCGCCGTCACCGTCATTTAATTCCAGAAGACTCCCGTTGCTCTCATAAGTAGGCCCACACCTGTTGGCAGTCACCCTCTACCCCTTCCCCCTCTAGCTCCTGGCAACTGCTGGCCTGTTTTCCGTCTCTATTGATTTATCCATTCAGGAGATTGCATTCAAATGAAATCGAGCAATGTGTGATCTTTGGTGATGGGCTTCTATTACTTAGCAGAAGGCTTTCTGGGTTTAGGCATTCATGTTGAAGGACCTCATTTCTTTTCATGGCTGGGTAATAATCCATTGTGTGGGTTGAGTGCCTTATATTTAA